AGCAAGGCCTTTGATCAGGTGGTTTTGACAAGCGTAGAACAACATCTTAATTGCTGGTGTTGCCAGGTCCACCCTGATCTTATCAGGGTCCCAGCTATAGGCAAATAGTTAAACCCCCACACCGAAAAAAAACGGGTCAAAATACCATGAAAGTATAAAAATAGGTTTTAATACCAGCAATACATTTTTGAAAACAAAAAATATTACCAGCAATACACATTCGAAAAAAATATTACCAACAATACATATTACCAGCAATAAAAATGTTGTCAAGCTTAATTAACCCATTGAGGTTGTTATGCTGTAAACAAAATAAACCAAACAGACATTTCACTCAGTTTTATATTCAACTACCTAGGTTGCACATTTGCAATATAGTATTTTGTTATAAATATGTAAATTGTTAACTAAGTTCTTACTTAGAACTAAAAGCCATGCTATATCAAACTGATTAAAAAAAAAACTACAACAATAAAAAGCAATTCTTGCAATCAGCATGAAAAATATACAATGATTCTTTTCATGTAAAGATAAAATCAAATTTTTTAATAACCAAAGCACTTTTACCTAATGAATTTCAAGGTCAAATGGAAATGGTAATATTAGCCATTTCCTTATAAGGAAACATTTGACATTCACTGACCAAGCAGACTATTTTTTGTGAGTACAAACAACCAGATTTTAACTGGAGGAAATAAATATGCAAAATAAAATAAAAAAAAAAAATAACTAAGTCATATTGCATTCTCTGAAGAAGTCAACAAGAGAATCAATATCAATGCTTGGAATGCTGATATATGCAAAGTGTTATTTTTGCACCGACAACACAATTAAAAAAATATAAACAAATGATATTTTAAGTAAGAGTGTATAAATCATTCAAGCATCTATCTTTACATTGTCTGCATATTTAATCATATTGCCTACTGACAATAAGTTCAGATTGTAACCCACTTTTAGGCTACTTTACTGGTCTTTATTAATTACTGTCTTTATATGCAATTTACTCTTAATTAAGGTGTAGTCAGTCTCATCATGCTTGAACTAAAATTCCTGTTTAAAAAATGATGTCACAGATTACTTCCACAATGAAGAAAACAAATTGCAAGACCAAACTCGAATATCAGAGACAGAAAGAAATGTCAAAATTTCAATTCGCAGTCACAAATCCCAATGCACGTGAACAGTCAAAAAAATAACACACTTGCCAACGAACACAGTAGTAAAATAAACAACCCCCGCTTCCAATTCAAGAACACCAACTGTTTTTATTGACAGAGCATTTTTTTTCATTCATTGACAGCTGGGGGAGGACACGCAATATTAGCATATCCAAGATATTTTTATGATGACTCCTGTGACTGACTTGTTTCTACTCTTAACTTTGGACCTTCTGTCTTTGACATATCATGCAGAATACATACCCTTTTTCTCAGTAAGTAACTTTCTTTTTTTGCCACACTTTCCATCGTAGAATACATGCAACACATAGTTACTTGGTTTGATGAGATAATTTGCTGTTTTCTTCACTACATAAAGATAGAGTCATGACAAGCATCAAAGGCCTTCTACTATTCCTATGCACTTGCTAACATAAGACTAAATATTTCAATCATATGAGATTTGACTGATAAAGACATTCTTATCAAATGACACCATTAATATATGCCAAGGATGAGGTGGAGGGGGGAATCTAATCGGTGTCATTTTCTCAGATAAAGTTATTTTGCACAGAACAAAAGTCGACGAGATAAAGAAAGATTTCTTTGTACACACAAAAATACTGTTTTCACTTGCATTGTCTAAAACATTAGACCAAGAATTATTTAGACTAGTATCCCTATCTTTGCTGTTTTTATGACCACATTTCAGTTAACATACACTCCAGCTTTCTTCAATAAAGTTATAAGCAGAAATACTGTTATCATTAGAGAGAATTATTCTGGACCAATATCCCCATCTTTTGATCAGTACATTTCTTTCAAGTGGGTTCTGCAGAGCCTTCCCCAGATTATTTGGTTTCTTTTCTTCCTCCAAAAGAAAAAGGCCAAATGTGACACACTTGAGAAGAGAAGCTAAAGATCCTACATGTATAATGTATAATGATCAAAACAACAAATGTGGGATACCAGATCATTTACTTAACAGTTAAAATAAATAAATAAACTGCACAAAACCTAATGAGAATGGTACCATTAGTAACATTAAATTCACCAAGTGAACATCTTTCAGTAAATAAAGGAAAATTCATTGAACTAATGACATAATGAAATGGCCTGTAGCTTTGTGTCTGCAGTCATGAAGAAAAAAAACAATTGAACAGAGAAAGAGAGAGGAAATGATGTTGGCCAAGTCTTACAAGAACTGAAGCAAAGAACCTTATTACTTTAGCTAAGAGCAAAAGTGATGAAATTCAATCACTTTAGATAAAATCTAATCAAGAAGCTCTTTTCATTAAACTAATTGGCTTTAGATAATTAATCCTCACAAAAACGAAGAACACTTTCACATTAAACAATGATAAATCTTAATTTCATTTACGGAAAACTGTTAACCCCATTGTTAAATCCTTATAAAAGCTGAGTAGATGCTAAACAGTAAAAAAAGACAAAAACTATCTATAAAAATATTTTCTTGAAATAAACCAACAAATTAATATTGTGATTATAATGGC